AACTGCTGTCAGACTTAGGCTACATAAACTGTCACTGAAACCAAGTGGCTGTCCCTCAGGATGCAGAGACTGCCGTGCAGCCTGAAAACCAGTCCAGAACACAAGATAAAAATAACTGGAAGAGGAACTGGGCAGCAAGCGGAAACTTTTGGACCAAAACTGTCAATAAACCAGAAGCTGTATAGATCTAGGAAGAAAGTTCAGATACCTCCTGACAACACAGAGAGCACAGCAAGAGGTCCACTTGGTTCTGCTGAATGTGAGAAAACAGTTTTAGGACTAAAGAACTGAATCTACAGTTTCATAAGTAAGAAGGTAGGGCTGGATCAATGTTGTCAGTACATTTCTGCACTAAGCAATCGAAAAGCTTGGAGGCATTAAAAATGGAATAAAGGTCTCCAAGAAACAGCATGCAAGCATCTAAATAAGCAGGGTCAGCTTGAGTTATCTGACAACTCTCTAGACAAAGAAACGAAAGTGTTACAAAATTACAAGTCAGCTACACAAGAGAGTGGTGTTATTTCTCCTACAGACAAGGGTAAGGACTCTGGGACATCAGCACTACCCATCTTGCAGTAGCAATTCAGAATATTATTACCACCATGACAGATGTGGGGGTTCCTCGTGCTGTAACTGAGATGACAGAGCAAATTATGTCTGTACACCTCAACCACACTCCCGACAATCCCCAACACCTGTGCATCAGGGAAGGAGAGCCCGAACTGAAAATACTAAGCAGGAACGCCTAAGGCCTGGGTGGGGGCTCTCGCCTGCCAACTTTCCCAACCGTGCTGGTAAACTTCAGCAAAGGACAGAACAGACAGCTAACCTAGGTAATTTTTAAAGCTCCTCAATGAGTTTGCTGTCAGAGAGAGCCTGGTGCAAATCCTCTAGATCATCTCCCCTACTTTCCCCCTTTGTCAGCTCCCTCACACACTTTCCCTCTCGCTCCTTTCTTTCACTGACTCAACAAAGAGATAAACTGAACACAAAACATAGCTTTAGAACTGTTTTGGAATTAAAAGGAAATTCAATGCCTGCATCAGGCCTGCCCCTACACAGACGCCAGAAGCGAGGACATAATCCCCAGCACACCTAATGGCCAAACTTGCATATAAAGTGCAAGACATCTCTAAAATTGAAGCAAATATACACTAGCCCTAAAGACCAACAATAAGTGGGTTCCCAGCTCCCATCCTCAGCACCCTTTTCTCTCTCAGCAAAGCAGTCCAACGGGGAAGGGGTGGAGGGGAGTTTTTACAATTTAAACCACTTCATCGTTTGTCTCTTGTGTCAGAGCTCCCCTCGTTCAGCATGCAGTAACTCCCAGAAGCTAAGCACTATGGCGGATGGCAGAACCAGCAAGAGTAGGAAGTAATTACCAGTTTGCGATTCTGCTGAAAATGACTACCAGCCTCCAAAGCTGCACTGAAACTAAGGAAGTAAGTTGTTCCTGCAAGTCCATGCTAAAAATGCAGCAGAAATAGCACTGGCTCAAACTGCTTCCAGCTGCAGAAACGAAAGTGAAAACAGTCATGCCTTCTGTATGCTGGTGTGCCTTTTTATCAATGCCCTCGTGAACTCGCTTCCGAGATAAAACCTTTCAGCGGTTTCTTACCACCCTGAACATCCACCCTACATCCACCTTTAGAAAAAAAACACCCATGAAACATTTTACCCACTGCAGTGAACGAGGGAGGTATCTGATGATTGCAGCTGCTTACTGGCACAGCCCATGACAACCGAGCGGTGAGTTCATACCCATGCTTGAGACGCCAAGTCCTCAAATACTGTTTCAGACAGGCTGGCACAGGAAAATGAGAATCCCTTCACCCACCGCACTCTCTTAGCTCTTGCAGTGCTACTCGCTGTGCAAGGGCTCAACTCGGCAAGATGGCTGCCAGCAGCATTGACCCAAAAATGGCAACTAAAAAGTAACTGTTTTCCAGTTGCAGAGCGACTTTCGTTGATTTCTATGTGGAAAGAAGAACTTTGCTAAAGTAGAAATTTATTTTTAAAGACACTGTTCACTTCGCTCAGCTGCAAAATACGCCTCTGAGACCAACACTTCCACCACAAGCTCTACCACGAACACTGAATTCTTGGCACACCCTGCTGGATGTCAGACTGAGCAGGTCTGAATTTCAGGAGTTGCAAAAGAAAAGGAGAACACAAACAATGGATGCTAAAGGGACCGAAGGTGCCCCTGGCAAGGCCAAAAAGTCACTTGAAGTATTCTTGGATTGGGGAAATATTCCTCTCAAGGGGCAACGAAGTGGCTTGCGCGCATGGGCTGGGAGCCAAGAGCCCACTATTACTCAACTCATTTTTGAGGAGCAGGAAAGACGATCCTCAAGCCTGGAACTGGAAACAGACTGAGGCAAGACACCGGAGACGAAAATACAACCGATTGCCTCAGCTGCCACCGAGCCCAGCTCGGCACAACATGTCTGCCTCTGCCAATGCCAAGTCACCGGCGAGGCCCGGCCCGAGGGACGCCCCCG